AGGCACTGCTAGTCCTGTGGAGTATCCTGGCATCATTCTATCTTGGAGATGCAGAGATTATGCCTGTATCTTAAGTAGGTGAGGCAGTAGACCTCAGACCAAGATGCCCCCCCCATCCCATCCCCTTCACAGCAGTAAGTTTAGTCCTTGCCCAGAGCTGATCTGGGTGATGGCTGGTGGGGAGATGTACTCTTGCTGTTAACCGATTCTCTTTCTTCATGTGTATCTGCATTGTAGTGTGTGACCCAGTGGCCTAGGAGGGAGTGGGGACTGGCTTCATCTGAGGGAGGGCCCCTCAGCACAGAGCCTGAGCCCCATCCATCCATCCTTCTTCCCTAGCTTGTGTGTCTTGATGTCTGACTGATTTAACTTCCATGGTCACATGTGCATCGCCTTTGAGCTCCTGGGCAAGAACACCTTTGAGTTCCTGAAGGAGAATAACTTCCAGCCTTACCCCCTACCACATGTCCGGCACATGGCCTACCAGCTCTGCCACGCCCTTAGATGTAAGTGTCCACCCTCAAATGGAGCATGGGGCAGCCATAGACCTGGCGGGAAAGTCACCTGGTGGTCTTGCTCTTCCCCATTCACTCCAACACATTGCTAACCATTTTGCTGAGCCTGATACATACCAGGGCCCCTTTGACTGAAAGGCCTTTAGGTATGAATCTGTGCAGATGAAGATGCTGCAGTCTCCTCCATGGGCCTTCTGAGCCAGCCTCTGCCCACAGCACTCAGGAATAATAAAAGAAGAGCTGCTCTAGAATTTTCCTAGCTACCAATCCCATTCCCTCCTTCCTGCAAAGGATGAAAAGGTCCAAATGACCTGGGAGATCCACCCACAGCTCCTGCCCACATGGACACCCTCTGCCTAACTACCACTTCCCATCTGCCTTGCCAGCCTTTTTAGAGCATATTTGGTAACCGCACTTAGCACCACAGGATTTGTGGTGGTTGGAGCAGGACAGCAAGTCTTCTTGGAGAGGAAGTAGATAGACCTAGAACAGGGACTGTGTAGAGATGGAGGGACGGTGAAGAGCACTCCAAAGCAAGGCAAGTAGCTCAGTGATGGCCTCGAGTCTGGCATATGTTGACACTGGTGAAAGAGGGCCTGTGTTCGGGAGAGGTGGGCCACACTGCTGTGAGGGTCTCGAGTACCAGATGGGAGCCTGGAGCCTGAAAGTGCCACCATTGGTGGGAAAGGGATTGGAGGAAAAAGGAAGATTCCTTGCTTAGGGCTAGGAATGAGAAGAGGCAAAGCTGGCTTCATGGGTGGTCCTGTGCTTGGTTTAATGCTCTGCCACCAGCTTGACATTTAATTTTTGAATAAGGGGACCTGCGTTTTCTTATAGCTCCCATAAATGATGTAGCTGGTGCTGGGGAGAGAACTGCCCCAAGGCTGATGCTGCAGCTTTGGTGAGAGATCAGGCTGAGTAGGCCTGGCCCCTGCAGGGAGAGGTGGAAGGAGGTGTTTTATTTATTTTTTAAATATGTCTTTATTGATTTCAGAGTGAGGAAGGGGGAGGGAGAGAGAGATAGAAACATCAATGAAGAGAGTCACTGATCGGCTGCCTCCTGCACGCCCCTTGCTGGGGATCGAGCCTGCAACCCAGGCATGTGCCCTGACAGAGAATCGAACCGCGATCTCCTGGATCCTAGGTCGATGCTCAATCGCTGAACCACGCCCGGCCAGGCGGAAGGAGGTGTTTTAAACTGAAATTATCTCCCTCTGTCTTCTCAAGCATTAAGGCCCCCAAGTACAGAGAATCTTTCAGAAGGGAACCCAGTGCAGAGGCAGAGCTGCCTCTGCTCCCTCAGCCCAGTGCTGAGGTTATGGTGTGAGCGTCTCTGGCAGACTGGCTTTGGAGGATGGCTCTGGCCTAGAGCTGGGCAGGAGCCAGAGAAGAAGCCTAGGTTCTCAGAGTCTGCTTCTCTCCTCTCCTCCTGCCTTTCCAGTTCTACATGAGAACCAACTGACCCACACAGACTTGAAGCCAGAGAATATCCTATTTGTGAATTCTGAGTTTGAAACCCTCTACAATGAGCACAAGGTATTGGTGGGGAGAGGGTGAGGCCCCACTCTAGAGCTAGGTTACCCATTGGGACAGAGTCCTGACCTGGCTCTCCTTCCTTGCCTCTCAGAGCTGTGAGGAGAAGTCAGTGAAGAACACCAGCATCCGAGTGGCTGACTTCGGCAGTGCTACCTTTGACCATGAGCATCACACGACCATTGTGGCCACTCGTCACTACCGCCCACCTGAGGTGATCCTTGGTGAGTGGTTGTGTAGCCCCCAACCCAGATAAAGTGGGCTATTGCTGGGAGGGAATGAACAGAGCAGTGGTGTGCCTGCCTGCCACCCAGGACCACTGTAATGAGTCACTATGATTGTCAAATTGGCCTTGTTGAGAAAGGGACCTATAGTGGGATTTGGGCAAGAGTCCTGTCAACCAGTATGGCAGCTGCCCTGTGATCTCTAGGCTGGGAGCACAGAATCTCATAGCCTCTCTCCATTTTGGCTTTCAGAGCTGGGCTGGGCACAGCCCTGTGATGTCTGGAGCATTGGCTGCATTCTCTTTGAGTACTACCGGGGCTTCACACTCTTCCAGGTAAGGCCGCTCTGACACTGCCCTGCTACCCTGGGTGCTAATACTCTGGCAGGGTACAGGGGCCTGGTGTGGGAAGACCTTCCAAGGCCCATAGTCGGCATATTGTGAGATTTACTCTTGAGTGTTGTAGATGCTTGGGAAGGAAGAGGTCAAGATAGCTGGATCACTTAGGGGAGTCTTCAGCTCAGCCATCAAGGATGGAGGGTTGGGGCTAGAGGAGTGAGCATTCAAGGCATGAGGCACAGCATAAGTGAGGGTATGGAGATGGGCTGGGGCAGATTGTGTTCTAGGGAGAGAGTGAGAAACATGGGCTTATCCATGGCAAAGGGTAGCAGGCTACCGCAAGGTCAGAGAGACTGGGAAGGCACTTACCTATCTTTTTTGTCCCTTATCCTCCCTGAGGGGCTTAGGCTGGTACTGACCCCTGCTTACTGTATCCCTGACCTCTTATAGACCCATGAAAACCGAGAGCATTTGGTGATGATGGAGAAAATCCTAGGTCCCATCCCATCACACATGATCCACCGAACCAGGTAAGGAGTCCTGACCCATAGGCCTTTCCCATTTTGGCTGAGAGTTAACAAGCTACTGCATTCTTTGCAGAATATGCCAAGAGGCTCCTCTAGGTTCATAGTAGCCTTCCCTGTATGCCCCCCAAAGTGTCCTGACAAACCTGCTGCCCAGAGCTTCCTGCCCTGCTGGGTCAGCCCAGGATTCCCTGCCTGGCTTTGCTGCCATTCCCCAGGCTCCTACTGCCGTCCCCACCCTCTACCCACAACTGATCACCTCCCTTCATTTTTAGGAAGCAGAAATATTTCTACAAAGGGGGCCTAGTTTGGGATGAGAACAGCTCTGATGGCCGGTATGTGAAGGAGAACTGCAAACCTCTGAAGGTCAGTTTCTGGCTTCCCCCAACTCAACTCATGCCAAGGAGACCCCAGGCACTGGGCACACATACAGCAGAGACAGGCCAGGCAGCTAAAGGCTGCTCCCTTGCTCCAGCTCTATGGGAGGCTGCACCTGAGGCTGCTGGGTGCTGACAGTGGGGCATCTTTCAAACTGCTCCAGAGAGGCCCTTAGCCCTACCCTTTCCCAGTAGGGTGGCTATGAATGTAATTGGGGAACACGAGAAGAGCCTGCTACTTCCTGCCCCCCTCTTTTCTCAATTTTGGGAAAAACTAGGCAGGACTGAGGTGAGGGGGAGGGAAGATGTAGACATGGCCAGAAAGCCTCTGTCAACTGCATTCGGTGCACGGACAGTGAATTTCGCAGGTGATTTCTACCCATCTCTCAGGACTTTGCATGTAGGGGCAGAGGCACCAAACCAGCAAGACACCCAGTAGCCTGACAAATTCAGAGCAAAATGCTCTAACAGGCATGAAAAGAAAGGAGTCGCTTATTGTCCAAGAGGGCAGACATAGTCCTCCAGGAGGCATCGCTGCCTCCTCCACCCATGCAGCAAGGCTTCCCTCGCCCCTGCCATCACACTGAGGCACCTTGTGTCCCTGAGCAGAGTTACATGCTCCAAGACTCCTTGGAGCACGTGCAGCTGTTTGACCTGATGAGGAGGATGTTAGAGTTTGACCCTGCCCAGCGCATCACATTGGCGGAGGCCCTGCTGCACCCCTTCTTTGCTGGCCTGACCCCTGAGGAGCGGTCCTTCCACACCAGCCGCAACCCCAGCAGATGACAGGCACAGGCCACTGCACGAGGAGATGGAGAGTGGAACTGGGCTGCCTGGCCCTCTTTCTCCAGCCTCTAACCACCAGGCCCCAGGGCCAGAGCCACCCAATGAACAGTGCAATGTGAAGGAAAGGCAGGTGCCTGCAGGGGCGGAGACATGATGCCCAGCTGCCAGAAAGCACAGATTTGACCCAGGCTATTTATATGTTGTAAAGTTATAATAAAGTGTTTCTTACTGTTTGTAACCCCTGGTACCAGTGTGTCCGTCTCCAGGCTCCTTGCCTTCTCCCTTCCCTATCTTATTAATAAAGTCTTTCTTAGCAGTTCAGCTTGTGGACAGCTAAGTGTGAACTGGGCCAGGCATAGAAGGGCTAGCCAGTGAAAAGACCGGAAGCTGGGGTGTTCCTTTGGGCCCAAAAGGGCAATTTAAGCCCTGAGATGGCAGGCGTGCTGAATAGCCCTAGAAGGCACCTGGGCCCTGTCCTGCAACTGTTCCCCTGCTGGCCCTTATACCTCTCAGCCCCAAGGGATATAAGGGGGAAGACCCACTGCCGTTCAACAGGCAACACCTAGTTTTACCCATCCTAGCCCTTTCCCTGGCTGGAACTTTAGACTCTGTGTCCAACAACTATGGCTTACTGAAGGCTGTCAAGCATGGGACAAAGTGGGCTCCTAGGGCTGGGGTGGCAGTACCTCACCAGCCTACAGAGTAGAATTTACCAGAGCACAGGGCTCCCATCATTCAGCTTTATTTTAGTGCTGGCTTTTGGTTCCCCAACAGCTGCATGAATGATAGTCTTGACCACCTCATTGGGGCCCCTTGGGGACTGGGCACTGGATGCCTCTGAAAAGAGCCACAGACAGAGGAATGATGCTTATCTTTAGTACCACTGGGGAAGGCCCAGCTGAGGGCAGGATAGAGCTCCAGTGCCACCAGGAGAGAAAAAAGACTTGGGCACAAATTCCCAGTGGCTCCTCAAGAACACACACCCCCCTCGCCCCCCCGGGTAAGCAGTCTTTGGGGCCAGGGTTCTTCTAATTTGTTTTCCACTACCCAATCAAGGACCAACTACATTAACAGGCAGCCAGAACCTGTTTAATGATTGCTTACTAAAATGCCTGTAATTCAACACTCCTCCTCAGATTATGGCCTTGTGACTAAAGGGCCCCATCTTGGGAGCTGTTTGGTCCTGAGAGTGAGCAGAGGCTCAGGGAGGATACATAGCACAGGGTTGACAGTGTCTGGCTTCCTCCCACTGCTGGAGACAATTTAACATTTCAGGAAGGATGGGAGGAAAAGAGGGACCAGTTCTCTCTGCCCCACCTTATCTGTTCCTGGCTAGGCTCCTATAAGGAAAGTGATAAGCAGCCTGAAATCAGGGCCTACCTACCCTGTATCTGCAATCCTTGGTGAGGCTTTCCACTCACCCCTTTAATAAGACTGGGTAGGCACAGAGCAGAAGGAAGCCTGAAGCCCTGAAAAAGGCTTTAAAGCACAAGCCTTTGCAAGGGCAGCTGCCAAGTACTCCAGGGTGTGGCTCCTGTTCTACCAGCCCCCAGGGCCTAGGCCTGCAAAGGTCCAGGGGCTTTGTGCCTTAGGACCTGACCAGCAGTGTGTTCCTATGGCTGAGTCCCACCAGTCAGGTCATCCAGAACTAGCCTCATTTTGGCATCTGTGAGACAGGGCAGTGGCCCCAATTGTACTTATAAAGTATATAACCAAAAAGGGTTCAAACAAGGGAAGGACATGTGCCCTGCTCTGGGATAATAGCTACAGAGGACCATTTCAGGGGAAGAACAGAGGGGACACAACAATAGGGTACATATGTGTGGGGAAAGTGTTGGCCTAGGACAGAAGCACCACGGAACCTCTACTGGCTCCCTCTACTGGCTCAGCACCAGGCACCCCCAGGGGCCTTCCCAATACTGAACATTCAAGCTGCACCCTGAGGCGCCTGGCCTCAGACTAAGCAAATGCTCAGCCCCCAGCTAGAGAGAGTATATGGGGTTATGGGGCACTGTTGGCAAGATGGGCGTCATGGTTCTACAGTAACAACCTTATACTACTTGTGCTGAAGACAACAGAAATACAGTGTAAAATCCCAGTACAGTAAAACCATCCTGATGCCACTACCTTCCCTGCCTCTCAGAGTGGTGTAGAGAGGAGGAAGGACATTTTTTCCTTGGGGAAAAATCCCAGCATAAAACCCTGGATCAGCTAAGGAGAAAGGGTCAAATCAACTTGTGGGGCTCAGGGGAGGTCCACAGCCCTCAAAATGAATGGGGAGTGCAAGTCTGCCCTCTAGTGGACAGCTGCAGTGCAGCCAGTCGTACACGATCAGAGGAGGGGAGACAAAGCCAACTCAAATAGAGTGAGTACAGGACCTACCCAACCCCCGCAAGGTGCTCGTGCAGGCCCAGTGACTGTAAACCTAAAACAGTTTGTGAGCCGCCTACGGTCTGTAAACAAAGCCCCACCTGGCCATGTAGGGGACTGAGTGTAGAAATGCCTGGAGCCATTGCACATGCAGCCTGCCACCTTGCCTCACACACCCAATGGGAAAGCCTTTCCTGGTGAAGGGCAGGTGACAGGTCAGCTTTAAATACAAGTTCTCAAAAGAAAAAATATATATGATCTGTTCTCTCACAGAAGAAACAAACCCAAAAGGGAAAAAATTTAACAAAAAGGTCCATGAAGCTTCACATCCTTAAGGCGTTCGTTGTCAAGTCCAGTGTCAGAAGCAGCAGGGGACTACAGGGTGCAGCCTTGCCAGAGCCCCTTTAAGCAGAGTGTAGTGGGATGACAAACTTGCAGCCAAAGGGTGAGTGGTAGTTGATCCCCACCTCCTGGAATACCTGCTGGGGAATGCCAATGTCGCACAAATAGACGCGGCCTGCATGCTCTCCCAGTGGCAGAGGCAGGCCCAGAGCCAGTGACCACTTGGCATCGATGCCCTGTTCGACTTCATGCACGGGAGGATCTATGCTTAGTACTGGTGCCCGGTTCTGGTTGGCCCAAGCCACAGCTGCCTTGTACCAGGGCTGATCCCGCAGGAAGGCATTCTCAGGACAATCTAGACAGTTGATCACCAGGTCCACAGGGCTAGTGGGCAGATCTGTAGGTGGAAAAAGTATCATCTGAAAATCCCTCTAAGCAGAGAGCCCAGGCTGGGAGTAGAACCCAGGTGGCTCAAGTGTCTTGTTCAGACACCACTCTGATGCCTCTCCATAGGCCAGCCTTCTAAGGCTTGGTGGGTCTGGGTGCTAGAGACCAACAGAATGTCAGCCAGATGTTACCACTGTCCTGGAACTCACAGGCTGAAGCACTGTCCTGCTGGGTGTGCACAATCTTACTAACTCCCTGGGAATATGAGCCTAGCAAGGCAAGGTCTACTGCCAAGTCAGCACTCACAGGAAGGCCCTGACTGCCATTTGCTGACTGGCCCTAGAACTGTGAGCGAGCAAGAGCATGCTCACTTACTCTGCTCTGGGCCAGCCTACTCACCCAGCTGGAGCTGCCTGCCCTAGCTGGCCTCTCTCACTATTCTATGGAAATGGGTCCTCCTTGCAGCCCAACCTTAAGAATGGGGAGGGAACCTATCACTTTTCCCAGGCATTTAAGGCTTCTCTGCTCTAGGCCTCAGGGACAGTGTTAAGAACAGATATTCCAGTGGCATGTAACTCTTAAAAAGGCGAAGAGATTAAACAGAATTGCAGAAATCAGACCAAACTCAAGGGTTGGCATCCTCAGGCTTGCACAGTCAGATAGGAATTGCCTGGAACGGGCATCACATAGATTTCAAGAGAGGGCACCTATACCAGGCCCCCTTCCTAGCTCTCAACCTAAAGTAATGGTATATCTCAATTAGAGACCCATGGCTTCCTTACTTAGGACAGGGCACCATTGTTGTGTGTGCCCATAGTTACCTGGCCTGAGAGTTAGGAAACTGGCTCAGGCTCTCGCCCCAGCTCGCAACCTGACCCCTGGCAAAGCCCTTTCTCTGGGCCATATTTGTTCTCTCCACTTCTCCCATTCTCACCCCTTCCAATCAGACTTTACCCCCACTCCTCCACTTGAAACTGCTCTTCCACACTGCTAAATTCAGTGGTCAATTCTCATTCTTCACTTGAACTTAACCTAAAATATCTTGCTGATATTCACATAGTTCATCATACCCTCCTCTGCTGCTCACTTGCCTTCCAGGTACCAGACTCTCCTAGTTTTCCTTCTCCTTCACCTTCACCGACCACACCTTCCCTGTCTCCTTTGCTGGTCTGACTCCCTGACTTGTAAACAAAGGCAGTCTAACAACTTCTCTATCTACTCTCTCTTCCTAGGAGATACCTTATACAGGCTCATAATAGCTTTAAATACCACATACACTTGTAACTCCAGAGTGGATCCTTTCACTAACTCATATATACATCAATCAACATTTCCACCTGTGGATCCGGCATCTCTGAGGTTCTACTCTTCCCTCACAAACCTCATCCCTTAAGTCTTCCCATCTCAGTGATGGCACCTCCATCCTTCCAGTTACTCAGGCCAAAGACCTTGGAATCACTCTTCACCCTTCTCTTTCTCTCATCCCCTTCATCCAATCTGTACACTATCTTCAAAATTGATTCAGAAACTAACCACCTTTCACCACATCCACTGTCTTAGCCACCATCACCTCTCTCCAATTTATCACAACGGCCTCTTAACACCTCTCTTTGTAAGCCAGCCAGAATGACCATTTGGAACCTGAGATGTAGCTGGAGTATATCTTTCTTCTACTTACTCCTCCAGTGACTTTCTACTTCACCCTAGTAAAAGTTCAAACTCCTACAGTGATCCCCAGGCCCTTTATGACCTGACGTGGAAATGTCTCCGTCTGTTAACTCCTCACCCAGTCCTCCAACACTCTCTTCTCTCTTCCCTGCTTTATTTGTCTGCATAACACTACCATCTGACATAACAGAAGTGTTAATTATTCATCTCTTCATCTATCCTAACCAGAATGTTAAGCTCATGAAAGCATGGATTTAGGGGAGGGTGGGAAATCTATTGCCTTATCCCCAGTGTCAGGAACAGTGCCTGCTCCATAAATACTTGTGAAATGAATAAATGGATCCCCAGCTCTCCATTTGAGTATGGGACAAGGAGGGTGAAGGGATGGGAAGTAGGCAAGTCAACACCAAAGTATTTCCCATTTCTACTATGACTCCTTACAGGCAAAGCATGCCTTATACTCATGGTGCTTTTCCACCTGTCGCCACTGGGCAGCACAATCAGATCATCAAACTACTGAGGAGGGAGGTGACCTCAGCCCAGCCCCGTGCAAGTGCTCACCTTTGAGACTAGACACTTGTTGGCCTTGGGTCTTACTGAAGAGAGATAGCTCGTTGGTGATGGACTCTAGCATCTTGACAAAGTTGGGCAGGAAGAGGATGACCTGGACATCATGGTTGGCTAGGTGCCTTCCACAGCTGATACCCTGAGCCCCCTTCACATGGGGCCCACAGAGCAAAGCCACTGTAGGCCTCTGGTGTACATTTTTGGGATTCAACCTGGAACAGAGGTAAAGAAGCATCTCAGTTGCAGACCTGACAATCCCTTGCACCCTAAACCAAGCGAGTGCCTCCACACCTGTTGCTCTTAAGAGTTCCTGATGGTCCCAGGTTGCAGAGGTCTATAGGGTGTCCCCCACACCCCACTGTAATGTCATCTGCTGGATCTTCTCACTAGGTAGTTCACCCAGATCTTGTTCTACAGAACACTGTTTTCTGACCAAGAACATTTACTGTTCTCACAATGTGAACCTATTAGGTCCAAACTCTGCTTGACCTCTGCAGCCTTCTTTGTTTTCCTCCCCAACAACATGCCTGCCCCACTGCAGTAAGTCTGGTCTCATCCTTCTCTCCTGCACTTGTAAAGCTCTTTCTTGCTTCTGCTCAGTTTCCCCTGCCCAGAAAGCCCACCTTTTCTTTGAGATCCAGCTCAAGGTTTACCTTTTCTAGGATTACTCTGGCTCAGCTTCTAAGAAACTCACAGCAAGTACCAAACAGGATAGTTCTAAATCGTCCTCAGTTGGTTACCAGTCCAAGTTCTCTTTACTGAGCTGCCAGTAAGCTTTAATAAGGGCAATGCTGTAGAGACTAACAGGACCTACTTCATAGGATGCTGTGTGGATCAGCACTGAGAATAGGGCCCAATGGATGTTGGCACTATTATAGTACTGATCATAGAGGCAGCAGGCTAGGGGCTTCCTGGCGGCCTAGGCTGGCAGCTGACTTGGACATCCACTTCCTGATGAAGTAATTTTTAGTTTCCTGCCATTCAAGACTGAGACCTCTCTGGTCTCAGAAAAGCCACAAGTAAGGTTGGAGGATTAGCCCTGGAGCTGTGCCCAACTCACAGGCAGTACAGTTTGCCCCCAGGGCAGGAAGGTCGGGGAAATGCACAGAACCAGGCTTAGGTCTCTGCTTGTGTTGCAGCAGTGACAGTCACTTACTGGTCTCCCAAAGGGAGAAAGATGACAGCTGCTGTCACTCCAAAGAGGAAATTCCTGCCCTCCAAATAAATCTGGGGGAATACCATTCATTTCTTCCACTATATTTGCATCTTAAGGAAATATGGTGAGTGCTCCCTTCAGACAGACACTTCAGAGTTCTGGCATATGACTCACCCACATCTGTTTCCTAAATGGAATCTCCCTCTCACAGAGGCATCCCCCATCGGAGGACTCAAAGCAGACCATGGCACCCACACACAACAGCAGGGGGCAGGGCACAGCCACTAGAAACACCTATCTACATTGGGCACCTGGTTCCCCCACATATGGGCAGGGTCACATGGGCAAGTCTTTTGGCCCTAGCTCTGAGCCTTAGTTGGCTCATCTTAAAACACCGGACTACTCCTTACCTTTGAGGTGAAGTTACGAGTATCAAACCCACTGCTGCTGTGAAAATACAGTGAAAAAGTGCATGATCTTTGACATACATGAAAATGATTACTAATGTGGTAATCTTCCTCAAAGGAAAGATTCTTGGGTTCTGAAGAACTATCCAGCAACTGCTGCAAAGGATAGGAGAAGGCCCTTCTAAGAGTTCAGACAGGTACAAGGACAGCCAGCGCCAAGAAGCTGCCTTGAAAGGAACATAACTTTGTGGGGACATTCAGATCCTGCCCCAAAACTACTGTCTCTGGGAAGCCACTTTAATGGCCTCGAAGACTCCTGGGAAGAACTTATTCCAGGAGCTGCCCCAATGGCCACTTTGTGAGGAGATGCGGCAGTCACCAGAACCAAGGGCCTGGTGCTTCCTCAGAGGGCAGCTTGCACTATTCCCTCCTTTGGGGGTAGAGAGTGTGTCTCCATTGCCTCTTCCCTGGCACAGGAGAGGCCAGGTTGAGAAGCCAGCCTAAATCAAGGGCAAGGAGGAATAAACACACCCACAACTCTATAGGGCAAGGGGAATGGAAGAGTAAGAAGGGGAAACCTCACATCCAGCTGGGCTCACTTTAGACACCTCTCTTGCACAAGGTTGCCATTATCCCCTTTATTGACAAATCCAGCAGACATTTCTCAACTCTATTTCTGCTTGATCTCTCAGCGGTACCACTGCTGACCATTCCTTTATTCTTCAAACACTCTGTCTTGGGTTCTGAAGCACTATCTTCTTGGTTTTCTTACCTCTCTGGCTTTCTTGGCCATTTTGGAAGGCTCCTGATCTCCTAACTATGCCTTTAATGCTGATGTTTTCCAGAATTCCACTCTAGGCCCTTCCTTCCTTGATACCCTCTTTCCTTACAGGACATCATCTATCCTATACCACTTATGAGCTGATGACTTCCAGATCTCTTATCTTCTGCTCAGATCATCTTCTAAACCTTAGATCCAGACTGCTAATGGTCTATATGGCTGTCTCACAGGCTTCTCAAACCTAACATATCCAAAACAAAATCCACCATCTCCTCCAAACCACTCCTCTTCCCACATTCCCTATCATGGTTAATGTTATCACTATCAGAAAAGGTATCCATGTTGGGAAGCTTGAAGTTCAGTAACCACAGACACTGCACTTTCCATCACATTCATTCAATGACCCTGCTTTGTTGATTTTATCTTTAAAAAAATCCTTCACCTATCTTCATTTCTCTGATCCCTACTTCCCTGGTTGGCGACACCATCATTTAACTCAGTTTTCTGTTACAATTTGCTAATCGGTCTCAATGCCTCCACTTTTGCCTCCACTCAGTCCACTTAGCCAAAATCATCTTTGTAAAATCCCAGACTAATCATGTCACAGCCCTACTGAAATCCCTTCAGCAGCTCCCTACTGCTCAGTTGCACCAAAGCCCTACTTTCCAGCCACAGAGAATGACTTACGGCCCAGCTCCCACCACTTCCATGGTCTCTCAATTCTCTCTGCTCTTGGCATATGCTGCTCCCTAGATCTTGACTACTTTTCCCCTTTCCTACTGTCCCTGTTAAATCCCTCTTGCTCTGCAGGACTCAGCTTGGATGCCCTGCTCTAGGAAGGGTGACTAGCTTCTTCCTGGACTAGAAAAATGTGGCTTGCTGGAGAATCTTCTGTTTCCTCTACCATAGCACAATACTTTTTGGAGGCCTCATCAGGCTACTAGAGGGCAGGAGCAGTGTTTTATTCTTTACTATATCCCTAGTCCTAGCACAAGGCTGGTACACAGTATCAGTAAATGTCCACAAATAAAATTAAGCACTGACACCCTGGCCGGTTTTGCTCAGTAGTTAAGAGTGTTGACCTCTGGACTGAAGGGTCCCGGGTTCCAACCAAGGGCATGTACCTTGGTTGCAGCCTCGGTTCCTGTCAGGATGCATGCGAGTATCCTGGCATCATTCTATCTTTCTTGGAGATGCAGGGATTATGCCTGTATCTTAAGTAGGTGAGGCAGTAGACCTCAGACCAAGATGCCCCCCGATCCCATCCCCTTCACAGCAGTAAGTTTAGTCCTTGCTCAGAGCTGATCTGGGTGATGGCTGGTGGGGAGATGTACTCTTGCTGTTAACCGATTCTCTTTCTTCATGTGTATCTGCATTGTAGTGTGTGACCCAGTGGCCTGGGAGGGAGTGGGGACTGGCTTCATCTGAGGGAGGGCCCCTCAGCACAGAGCCTGAGCCCCATCCATCCATCCTTCTTCCCTAGCTTGTGTGTCTTGATGTCTGACTGATTTAACTTCCATGGTCACATGAGCATCGCCTTTGAGGTCATGGGCAAGAACACCTTTGAGTTCCTGAAAGAGAATAATTTCCAACTTCATGGTTAGAGCATTGGTCTGCGGACTGCAGGGTCCTGGGTTCCGACCAAGGGCACGTACCTCAGCTGCAGGCTCAGTCCCTGTCAAGGCACGTGTGGGAGGCAACCAGTCGATGTGTCTCTCTCACATCGATGTTTCTTTCTCTCTTTCTCTCCCTCCCTCCCCCATTCCACACTCTCTCTGAAAAAGCAACGGAAAAAATATTCTTGGGTGAGGATTAAAAAAAAATTTTTTTTTAAATTAAGCACTGCTCCTGATATATGAACCCAAATGACAGGTGGGAAGGTATCAAACTCCAGCTCTCCCACCCAACTGTCAAAGTGGTTCTGGAAGTTCTCAGATATGGAACTCAGGATTGATTTGTATCCCAGCCCCTTTGAATGACAAGTACCAAAGGCTGGGTCTCTGAAGGTTCTTAGAAGGCAGGCCTCTAATAGCAGCAGTCTCAAAGCCAGCTGTTATCAGGAAAGAAAGGGTCAAAGGGTGGCTTGCTGGGAGAAGAATGAGGACTTCCAGGAGATGGGTTAGAGAAGCAAATAAAAACCTCCAGTATCCAGGAAAGTGTCTTCATAAAGGCGGTCCCATTAGACGAGCAGCAACTGTCTAATGAATGCCTTTTGTGTGAGGCCCTCTGGTGGGGCCCAGGCAGAGCAGCATCAATCCACACTCAGCCCCCACCAATCTAGAGACATTTACCTGTTGGGTCCTCCAAGTAGAGTCAGTGCCATCTGACTGGCACACACGCCTGTCACCTCCAGTCTCCGCTCCAGAGTCAACCCATGCTTTTCAGCCACAGACAACAGCTTTTTATGTAGCTCATAGGAAACACTTGGGACAACCAGGCCAGAGTCTGCAGTTCAAAAGGAGGTGTGGAGAGAAAGGGGCAGTGATTATAGGAAACCAGCTTCACAAATAGGTGTACTCAATCCAGGATTCTGTGAAAGCCACGACTTTGAGAATGACCCTCCCCTGACCCATCTGCCTCAGTTGGAACTAAGACATGCTATGCAGCCCAGGAGGCTCAGGCAGTGGATGGGGAACTGAGTAACAACTTGTCAGGTTACCACAGAGCAAGGTTTGTGAAGCTCTGACCACAAAGACCAAATCTACCAAGATATATTTGGTACTACCAAGAAAAAGCCAGCACAGAGCATGTAATAGCAACCTATGAACCACATCAGAAGAGAGCATGCTTGTCCCAAAGTGGGAGAAATGCTGTCCTGACATAGGGTTTTCCTTACAAGCAAACCCCTTATCCTTTCCCAGAAGTGGAACAAACATTACCTAACCTTCCCAACCCTCTGGTCCCACTGGTCAATTTCAAGGCAGGATGACTTGTTCATCCCATCTGCTACCCACTTCTTCTTCCTCCTCTCTTCTACTTGCCCTTCCTCTTTGCTTAAGAAATTTCAATTAGCAACTTGTTTTCTCAAAAAATTTGTCCTTTTCTGCCCATTTGGGGTGAATGTGACCCAATACTCATACCACAGGGAAAGAGTACACAGAAAGTAACCTATGGCTTGCTTTAAACTACTCAGAAGAATCTTGAATATTTTATTCACCATAAATAGAGAATATAGAGAGAATCTCTCTATAGAGGTTAGAGAGAATCACAGTCACTGAAAGTACTTGGTTTTAAAAGGCCAAAGTCTGCAGCAGCTGGTACACTGAAGTCTACAGTATTACATAAATCAGTATCAACATACCATGTGCCATTTCAGGGCCCAGAAAACCAGGACAGAATAAGCAGCTTTTGCCTTGACAACCAATGCTAAAAGTCACTGGGAGCAGACCCTCTGCCAAAGGGCCCCATTTGGCCTCACTGGCTGATGGACTAACAGAAATGGATTCTCATTAGAAGTTATTGTGGACCACATGTAACTAGTTCTGTCTGGCTAGATTAGATGTCTTTTTAGATCCTATGTCGTCATCTATACTGGATTGTCAACTCCTGAAAGTAGGGAAATAAGCCTGTACACTACTTGGGAGTCCACCTCCTCAACTTGTCTTAGCTATATTTATCAACACAGGTGAGCTCTCATCACATACTCAACCATACAAGTGATGCAAAGCTAGTGCTATTTCTGGTCTGACCAAACTCTAAGGTGGAAGTTCATCATCATCATCCTATTGGTTCCAGAGCCTTGAATAGAAAAAGTTGTCTTTCTCACTGACCATTTCAGGAGAAATTTCTTGAGGGTCTATTAGGCATCCAGTCCTGCCTATAAAGATTTTTTTTTAACCAGGCAAAGAACTTTATTAACCTTTGTTTTGAACTTTATCCCCAGGCTTCTTCAGCTTAATTAGCTACAAAGAATGATTTGTGTATAAGAAAAAACCAAAAAGAGCTGCAGTGTCCAAGGGCTTGGGCTTAAAAACATTACAGATCTAGTCCTGACCAGTGTTGTTCAGTGGTTAGAGCATCAGCCCACACACCGAAGGGTTGTGGGTTCAATTCTGGTCAAGAGCACATACCTGGCTTGCAGGTTCGATCCCAGGCCCCAGTCAGGGCGCATGTGGGAGGCAACCAATTGATTTGTCTCTCTTGCATCGATGTTTCTCTTTCTCTCTCCCATCGATGTTTCTCTTTCTCTCTCCCCTCCCCATCCTTCCTCCTCCCCCCCTCCCTTGCACTTACTTTAAAAAAGATCAATGGAAAAAATATCCTCAGGTGAGGATTAATGACAACAAAAATATTACAGATCTAGATTTTATCAGATCTGTGAACAAAACTTGAAAAGGCATTCATAGTATAAAATAGCAGCTCCCAGTAACTTCTTTTTTTAAAGAACATATATCTTTATTGATTTCAGAGAGAGGAAAGGAGAGGGAGAGAGAGAGATTAAAAACATCAGTGATGAGAGAGAGTCACCGACCAGCTGCCTCCTGCACACCCCTCTGGGGATGGAGCCCGAAACCTGGGCATGTGCCCTGCCTGGGAATCGAACAGAGATCTCCTGGATCCTAGGTTAATGCTCAACCGCTGAGCCACACTGGCCGGGCCCAGTAACTTCAAGTTTATCTTCTTCAGAAGTTGACTTGATTCATTTTACTTTATTCTTGGAAACCTCATCAAAATCCTCCACAAGATCTAGAACTTCATCATCATCTTCCCTTCTGGTAGCAAGCGGTGCTTTCCCATCCACAGACAGTTTGGACTGAGCTTTACCAGTCTCCTTAAAGCAGTCAAACTGTCTGCCCCACACTAGTCTAAGGGGCTGGGTAGCACCTCTGTCGGCTGCTTTATCTCAGCATGACCTGTAATGGTGAAAGTATTGCTACCAGAGATGCCTGAACTTCAGGTTTGTTAAGTGAATCACTGTTCCTTGATTTGGGAACATATTCACCTCCTCAATACCAGAGATACTGTTTACACTCAACTTCTTTAAGGAGAATTGCAATTTTTATCATTTGCTCTTCCTGTTCTGTGAATCACCTTCTTTCTATGAGCAGTTCCTTTCCCACTAATACGAACTTGTGCCTGAAGTTTGGCAAGTTTTTCCTGGTTCCTGATAGTTTCTTTCATCTTGTTGGAAAGGAAATGGGGCCACACAGGGGACGAGGATCGATGCTCAGGGATCTTTGGTAGACCAGCTGAGAACAAGTGCACACACAGGGATGCAAGATGGTAGCTAGAGGTACCACAGATTCTTCTTCTTTTTTTAAAATATGTTTTTATTGATTTCAGAGAGAGGAAGTGAGAAAGAGGAGAGACAGAAACATCAATGATGAGAGAGAGTCACTGATCAGTTGCCTCCTGCAAGCCCCCTGCTGGGGATCAAGCCCGCAACCCGGGCATGTGCCCTGACCAGAAATTGAACTGTGACCTCAACCACTGAGCCACGCCGGCCAGGCGGGCTCACAGATTCTTAAAACCACATAGAATGAAGGTATGCCTGTACATTTTAAGAACAGGATTCTAAGCACAAATATGAACCAAAAGCACCCAGGTCTACACCCTCTCAAGGGAAGGTGTAAGAGTAATTTAATGTAATGATGATAAAGTAAAAAATGTGCACGCATCAAAATTAACACTATCCTTGTGGTTAATGGAGCCTGTCTACCTGGCTGAGTCCTATTCCTGCCTTGGGCAGAGACAACAAATAGTGCCATGAGGAGCATTATTTCCTCTCACCCTTTGACAAATATCAGTCACTGATGTACCAGGTGCCAATGCTGGAGGCTGCAGCCTGACCTTGCATGTCAACAGCTGATTAAAACAATCGTTTTTATGTCCTGCTCCAGACACGCACATGTTATCAGAACTAATTAAGAACCACTGATAGCAGTGTAAAACTGAACAAATTCTCAGGAGGCCTAAGCCACTTACAACCCTAAACCTGTCAGACAAGTCACGCACCTCTCTATTCCAAACACCCTCTTTATCTGCACAGTCATGCAAGGGAGAGCTTTCCCCCAGGTCTCTGCATTTCTTCACCCCCTTGTTCTCTTTCTGTTGAATTGGAAATGGGTCAGGGTAGTGAGTCTTGGGCCTGCCACCCTACAATCAAGCTTGCTTTCTGGGTCTAGGTCTCATGCTGTGCCCTCTGCCGTTCTGAGGGCTCTCTAGAGGCAGGCTGAGCACTTTCTGCTGCCTTTATCCTCAGTCCTTAACAGTATAAAAAGAGAGCTCATCCCTTCAGGTGCCTACATTCTGCAGCTGGAAACTGTGACTCTTACCATCTCCTCACTGATCTGGGGGTGAGGGTGGGGGCGGTAAGGGACACTGCTGATGAACTGGCATATTTTGTAACTTAGGGAAAGACAAGGGCAGGAATCTTTTTAGCTCAGTCTGCTGTTGCAAAGTCTGTTTCTCTGAAAGGAATGTGCAAACACCGCAACATGTTTCTTTTCAACATTTACACACAAAGTCCAACCAGTCGGACTGGCTTGTCAGAAACAGGCAGAGGGAATAAACTCCAAAGGAAGGGAACCAAGAACATAGCGTGTAAATTGCAAACAAGAACACTGCCAAAGCTTGAACAGGGGCCAAGCCTAATTATTTTTGGGTTGGAAGGTGGCTCTTTATTGTTCAGGAATCAAGGCAGTAAAATCAGTAGGTAAGGCTTCTCTTAATATTAACATGTATTTTATAGCTGTTGGTGAAACAAGGAAGGGAGATATAATTATAGCCAGTTGGTGACAAGCAGAGAACTTCTTAGGATCTGGTGAACCTTAGGGTATCAACGAAAATGGCTTAAACACACTCAGTACAACCAGGAGAAAAGATCCTTCCAGACTGCAAAACTCATTCCACAGTGTGAGGTGAGGGCCATGGAACTGAATGGCCCAGCCACCGAACGAGCCTGCCCCTCCTGCATGTCCTTGCCACTTCTGCACTGCTCTTCCAATACCTAAAATTTCAGGCCTTTCCCTCCCTACAGACACAATACATGTGCATGTTCTCACACCCTCCATCACACTTCCCACCCTCAGACATCATCCAGCACCATGTCCAAGCCTTCCCCAGTAGCCTCTGAATGGAATCCCTCCCTGTCCTTCAAACCTCCCAGCCTTTCTGCTGTGTAACAAGGCTCCCACAACAAAGTGTCATCTCATATCTAAACTCAATCCTCACACTGACATGGCCCTTTAGTTGGAAAGGTTGTGTGTGTCCCATGTCTTATCAATGAATAGCACGGCTCATTTATGGGCGTGGGGATTAATCCAGGACTATGAATTCTGATTCCACTCTGTGGTGGTCACACAATTGGGTGACGATATCACATTGGGTTTTGTTTTGTTTTTTTCCAGTATAAAACCACTGGTAAATTCATACCCCAGATCCACAATGAATAGACAGCCCCTGCATATTTGCATTAAAGATACCACTAAATGCAGTTTGGTGTCAAGTTATCTCTGAAAGGAGGATTCGTTACAAGAAGTGTAAATACTCCTAGTACTCTTTTGTTGTTGTTAATCCTCATCCAAGGATATTTTTTTCCATTGCTTTTCAGAGAGCGTGGAAGGGAGAGAGAGAGAGAAACATCAATGTGAGAGAGACACATCTACTGGTTGCCAAATCTCCCAGAGGCTCTTTCCTCACCAGCACTTGCCCAACCTAATCACTAATTTCTTCTTCTTCTTTTTTTTAATTTTTAAAAAAATAGATATCTTTATTGATTTCAGAGAGAGGAAAGGGGAGGGAGAGAGAGATAGAAACATCAATGATAACAGAGTCATTGATCGAGCCCACAACCCAGGCATGTGCTCTGACAGGGAATCTAACCCCGATCCCATGGATCCTAGGTCGACGCTCAACCCCTGAGCCACGCCCGGCCGGGCTCTTCTTCTTGCCTGATGATATCCTGCCCATGCTTCAGGGCTTCTGTCCTGTTCCCCTTGTGAAGCCTGCCCTGATCCCCCCAGCCTTTAGGACCTTTCCTGCTTCTCAACACCCAGTGCACCCTCACTGGACTCCAGGCATATACAGTATATTACCATTTCCTAGTACATTTTAATAACTTGAACACAAGGACTGTCTTTGAGTGACTTACAATAACAAGCCCAGTGTTTTGACTGACCCAAAGTGTCTTAAATATTTCTTTTAGAATATTATGAATTTTGAGCAAAGATTATTCTCTGAAGCCTTACCACTCTCTTTAACCAGTGTTCTTTGGGGACCTCTCACTATTGAACACAGAGTGCTCACACACATCTAGCATTTTATAGCCAAACTTAACACACACAGATGTGGCTACTGATACCATTATTTAGCAGGGTAGGTCCGAGCTGGAGGAATGTCTGACGATCCGTGACTGCTGGAGACAGCAGCACTGTCAAAGGGACTCAAAAGGGCTTTCCAGAGATAAAAGACTTGTGTTAAACAAAGAACTAAATTTAGTTACTTCCTGATTGTGTTTTCCCAACCAATAGACCTTTTATACCATTGTCCCCCCAGCCCCCCCAGTTGGCTTAGAATATTGCCAAGAGGAAGAGTATGAGCAATTAGCAATGCATTAGAAACTGTTACCACCACTTAGCATGAAGTCAATGTATGGAATACCAGCAGCAAGCTCTCAGAACCTAAAACCCCAGCTATCACCAAATGGGCAGTAAACATCTTGTTCGTCTTTTGCCTCTCTGAGGATTAATAGAAAACAAGGTATTTGAGGTTCTAAGACATGAGTGCAACAAGGCTAGACTGAGGAGCTAATTCAAGCCACTTTCTGTAACTGCTGATCTAAGTGGCCCATTTCTGAGGACATACTAAAGAGAAAAGACTGTAGTCTGTTTTGCCATTAAATTGCCCTACTCATACTACATACTTCTTCCTCTTTAACTTAACACATTTAGAAGAGGAAAGAAAACAGGATAAGAGCCTTTATCTCTCTGGGCCTCAAAGTCCTCATCTGTAAAATGAGTAAATTATACTAGGTGATCAAGTAATCCAACACATTTTATGAACCTAGGTTGTTTCCCAACATATTCCAGATAGTTTGCCTTATTCTGATCCTAATATTTGGATAGTACATACAATTGGAAAAGTGTCCCCAGCTATGCACTATCTGAATAACACTCAGTAAAACCTGTTTTGAGACTTATGCCTTGGAGCTGAAGCTGAGATAAAAATTACCAATAGGAGAAGCTGCTCAGCAAGGTAACTGCTTGCTGGCTCCATTTCCAGCATAGATCCTGCTTAGCAAAAGGGCTTCATTTCCACTCCTTAGCACTCTGAGACTCTGCTGATTCTCACTGTGATTCTCTCCCTGTTAGCCATTTCACTCCAAGGCTGGCGATCATCTCCCCGAACCCAGGAATTTCCAGGGAAATCACATGCTGAATGACCAACCACCTCAGTCCAGAGAGCTACCAGTGGAGGCAGTAAAAGGGGAGCAGTCAGAGGTAGATAGATGGCAGGATCTCAGGTACTACCAGACCTGCTGGATGATAGCTGCCTTCGAAAAACTTAAAACCTGGCCACTTAAATTAAGCCTGATTCTGAGCTACACTGCTGGCCTTTACATAGGTGGTAAAAATCAAAGGAGTTCAGCAAGATACACTCATTGCCACTTAAGGAAACTACCTAAGTAAAGAGGTACCTCTGCCAGAGTCTGCTACTGAAAGATGGAAACAATTTAGGAGTCTTTCTTACCTTGACAGTCTGCTTACTTTTTTCATATGGAAAACAGGTACAAACTTATATACTCAGCAAAACCAAATACAACAGAGTCCTACAGCTGTCTACAAAAAGGCCAGATCTGATTCTCCTCCAAATGTAATTAGCTGTCTCTATAATTCTCCCTATAAGCCCTAATAGCATTCAAAATTTGCATTCTTTATATTCAAAACTTCAAACCAAAATAAACATTATACTCAGTTCCTTCTCTGCCTATTAAAATGATTATGATTACCCCTTTAGCTTAAGATCATTCAATAATAATGGTTTTCAAACTGTATTCCAAGAAGCCCAGTTAAGAATGTAGTTTGGGAGGGATAGGGATGAGACAGACCATCTCTCCCACAGCTGCTTTTATCTGCCTCAAATGCCATATATTTGAAGATTCTAATGATTAAAAAAAAGAAACTTCAAAAGCACTGTGGTAACAGACTTAGACTATCATATACAGTGACTTATATAATTACCAAGGCACTGTTTTGTTATATGAGAATTATGACTAGCCAATCCTCAATGACCAGGGCTGGCATGAGATGAAGATAGCTTAGTAAACAAATGTAATTTATTGAAACCCTAATTTTGGCCAGTGGTTTCAACCATACATCTCCAACTGTTTTTTACTCCAGCAAACAACTAGTAAAAAAGAGTTGAACTTCTGTTAAAATGTACAAGCAGTAACAGGGAAGCCAAAGTGAAAGCAGATTTGATTATGTGAATCTAGATAGTTGGCCCCTATGCTTTTTGTTATTAACCATAACATACTAAATAAACTGCAGAACAGACCCTGCCAGATGCAGGATATAAATGGACATATAGAGAAATCAACTCTCCCACAATGGTAGGTAATTATGTTGTACTGGCCATAATCCCCAAGAGACAATAATAATGGTCAACCACTAAGCCACTTTAGTTAATTCCTGCTACAAGACTGACTCAGAATCTGGGTCATTCTGTTTCAAGCATAATAAGAAGGGAAAAGCAGCCAGAGGGAATGTGGGACCTGGTGCAACTCACCTGTGCAGAACTCCTTGTTCACATTGTGCGGCACTGTGATCCGCCGGTAGACTATGGGCTCTGACTCCAGGATGTTCTCATCATGGCGATACCGAGTAGGCCTTTCATTTGGGATGCCTCGGGAACGGGTACCACTTCTCCTCTCGTATGTATCAATCTCTTCAAACACAGCTGCCTTGTCAAACAGGGCTAGGTTCCCTTCAAAATCAAAATCTGTGTCTGGGATCTCTTCAATATCATCCCCGAAGCACTCGTCATCTTTATTCTTCATTTGGCCATTCTTTAAACCACTTTTCTTTGGAGTTGCTTGATTTGGGTGCCTGCTACTAGATGACCCTGGAGAAAAAATAGGAACTAAATTTAGTATGCCCACAGAAAGTGCTCAGTAGAAGTATAATATGCATTAGTCCTTTATGGAGAGTGTTATAGGAATTAGATGGTAAGCTATTCTTCAATCATATTAAGTAGCACAAACTACCACAAATCTCATGAAATAATAGATTTCATATATTACCCAAGTAATAGTGAATATAAAATAAGCAGTACTGCTGTGGCCGGTATGACTCAGTTGTTGAGAGCATTGTCCCAAACACCAAAGTGTCGGCAGGTTCAATTCCTGGTCAGAGTGCATACAAAAGGTAGCCAATCGATGTTCCTCTCTCTCTCTCTCTCTCTCTCTCATCAGTGAGAACATATCTTTGGGCGAGAATTAAAAAATAATGATAATGAAATAAAATAAGTCGTACACCTGGAAATTTTAACCAGTTCTGCCCTTCATAAGGAAATTGGTAATGACAGAAGCCTTTTTTTTGAAAAAATTTATTAATCCTAACCTGAGGATATTTTGTTTCCCCATTGATTTTGAGAGAGAGTGGAAGGGGGGTACGGGGAGGGGGAAAGAGAGAGAGGGGAAAAAGCAAAAAAGAGAGAGAGAGAGAAACAGCGATGTGAGAGACACATTGCTTGGTTGCCTCCTGCATGCGCTCCAACCAGGCTGGGGATCAAATCTGCAACCCAAGTACATGCTCTTGACTAGGAATCGAACTCGCAACTCTGATGAGCAGGTCAACATTCCAACCACTTAGCCACACCAGCCAGGGCTGAGAGAGGCTTTTTTGACAATCGAATATCAAAAAAGTGGAAGGACAAAAATACAGTAGTTTCGTCCCACAGGTTTGGGTGGTCTGATTCTGAATGTCAGGCACTTAAGAGAGAAATACTCCAATGTAAAAGACCAACTCCTCATAACCTGAAGCTCATAGGAAGATACTATTCAACTGGCTCTTAAGCAGGCAACCTTTTGATTTTTAATTTGGTACCAACCTAGAGCCCAGTGGGAGGTAATCCCTGGTTTAGACAGATTCCTGATTCTGAGCCAGATATACATCTTCCACTGTAAGTCGGTATTTTCACTTATAAGCCTGTCCTCAGATCTTTTGGTTAATGTGATCTCTTTTCTCAGAATTTTATCACTTCTGGGTAAACAATTTCTGAACCATCAAATAATGACAAGGACCATACTGACCTGATCCTGCAGAGGCCACACCAAGATACACATCAGCAATAGGGTAGCCAGCCACTCTGTCTCTGAGACTCCATTTGGCTGCCACATATCAGTCAACTACTCCCCTAGCAGCGAAGGCATAAGACCCCACAGAATTCTCCAAACTATTAATTCTCAGAGAATCCTGAATTGAGTTTGTCCTCTGATCCCCATCTGACCACCTGAAAGGGTGGACCAGGTGACTGGTATGTCTAACTGAACCTCCATCATGGTCTAAATAAATATAAGGTACTTCCTTGGAGAGACTGGGCTCCTCAATTACTGAAAATACTCAAGTAGAGGTTAGGATGATCACAAGCAAACCGTCTCACACGTATCATCCCAACTATCCTGTTCTCTTTGCTCACAGCAATGCCATTCTACCCAATGGGCCATGAGTCACAGACCTAGGACCTAGTAACTTGATATATAATCTTATACCTGTCGTCCAACTTCTCAGTTCCCTTGCATGTAAAATGCTCACTGTGTATCCCCAGTGGGGTTTCTAGCATGTAGTACACAGTCAATAGGTATTTAATGAATTAACACCAGCAAGATTAATTACAATAATTATTTTGAAAGATGAGTACTACGCAAATGTAACTGGTGTCCTAATCTTCCTAAATGCCAAACACTGGTATGAAAAAGGGCTGTGGCTGGCACTAAAAATAAGATTTAGGCCTCTGAAATGAAACTAAAGCTGACCAAAATTATGAAGGGAAGGAAAAGCTGGCTGAGCCACCATAAATAGCTCAGATTAATTATGAACTACTAAAGAATCTTGTCAATGTCTGGGTTAAGTTCCAATTCCAATAATTTAATAAAAGCATTTAGTGACAGCATGCTGTGTGCCACAGCTAGGTGCTGGGAATATAGTATATAACCAACACATGCTACTCAAAGAGGTAGAAGGAGAGATATATAAGCAAATAACTAAAGTATGATGTGATGAAAGTTGTAATAGAAGCTTATATAAAGTGCTACAGAAATATGGATGAAAAAGCAGAGCTGGATTAGGAATGGGAAGAGTAGGCATGAAAATACAAAGTCAGGACAACACCATTAGCAATGTATGTTTGTAGGGGAAGAACTAGAGAAAAAGTCCAGTTTGTGCCCAGCTGGCATGGCTCAGTGGTTGAGCACTGACCTATGATCCAGGAGGTCAAGGTTCAGTTTGCGTTCGGGGCACATGTTCGGGTTTCGGGCTCGATCCCCAGGAGGGGGCATGCAGGAGGCAACCCATCAATGACTCTTTCCCATCACTGATGTTTCTATCTCCCCCCCTCCATGAAATCAATAATAACATATTTTTTTTTAAAAGTCCAATTTGCAAAATTATCAATGTACTGCCTCAATATTAAATCAAACCATTCTATTAGGAAACAGGTCTCTAGCCCAGTGGTATGTGCATACCCAGGAGTGCACAGGATGGTCCACTGGGAATAGAGAGACAATACTAAATATTATATTTACATTCTTTTAACTAAAACCAATAATAAATCAATCATTATGAATTTAATGTATGGATAGTAACTGGTACTCTTATGAGGTTCACGCCAGTATTTGAGATATCTGAGCAAAGAGTGATGCTCCATAACAAGAAGTGTATAGATGCAAGTAAGGTGACATAATTTTTTGTGTGTGGTAAAATATATGTAACATAAAACTTACCATTTTAACCGTTCTTTTTTTTTTTTTAATATATCTTTATTGATTTCAGGGAGAGGAAAGGAGAGGGAGAGAGAGATAGAAACATCAATGATTAGAGAGTCATTGATCGAGCCCGCAACCCGGACATGTGCCCTGACGGGGAATCAAACCCCAATTGCCTGGATCCTAGGTCGACGCTCAACCAGTGAGCCACGCCCGGCCGGGCATCATTTTAATCATTCTTAAGTGTACAATCCAGTGGCATTAAATACATTCATATTGTTGTACAACTACACAAATTTTTTACTAAAGCATACAAAAATGAATGAGTGGCTTAAAAACACTCCTATAAAGACAGGTATTAAAGATAATACTAATACATGCAATCCTTCGTGAACAAAAGAATGGCACAGCTAACACTTCCCCTAGCACTCTTATAGGCCTTCTTTAGCCAGCATGAGGCTTTTAAAAAATTAATCTAATCAGATAAAAGAGATGAACTCCCAAATTAAAAAGTATCAAGGTTACTCCAAATATGAATCCCTATGGACTATCACTGGTTAACTGCACCCTAAATGTAAATGCACTACATCAGGAATCTACAGGCTATAGCCCTGGAGCCAAACCCAGCCCCCTGCCTGTTTCTATAAATAAAGTTTTATTGTTTGTTTACATATTGCCTAATGCTGCTTTTGTCCTTTAGGCAAAGCTAAGTATTAGAGACAGAGACCTTATGGCCTGCAAAACCTCAAGTATTTAAAATCTGACCCTTATAGAAAATTTGCTCACCCTGCTCTACATCATGCTTCTCAGAAGTATTCTTTATAGCTATGACTGCCATTAAAATAAAAAAAAATTAATTAACTGACCCAGGACCAGTTCTTTGAATATCTGTTTCATTAAAAGTGTTAAGTGTATCACTTCTTAAACTACTGTCTTTGAACTCCACACTCACCCTTTGTGAGTCGGAACTGGAACTCTACAAACTACATTTTTTCTTCCTTAGCTGATCTCCTCTTAGGTTCCACCACCAGCAGTAGGTACCTGAAGAGGCTGGAAGGGAGGAGGAAGAAGGCACTTTCTCCTCCTTTGCTTGCTATTTGCACCAGCACTGCCCTAGCAATTGGTTCCAGTCTCCAGCTTTTCTTTCTGACATGCATAGACACAACCAGCTCATTTCACCCCTCAGAAGTACTGGCACCAGCTCTGTGAAGCCCCTTCTCTGAACTCTGAGGTTCTGAAAACCCCAACCTCTTCCCTTTGTTTTCCCTCTCTGGATGTCTTTTTTTGCTTTTTTAATCTTCCAACACTTAACCAATTCCCTATATTAATTTTTTTCTCAAAGAACTAGCAGTTACTAATTTTCCTTAATTTATACCAAAATTTTAAAAATTAATGACTCACAGTGAATCACTCTGTTCTAACCAAATAATGTTTAATAAAAAAGAAATATTTTTAAATATCTGAATAAAATATTACTGTAAAAATAGTTCATGTTTATCGAATCCTTTTTAATTTGTACAGGTAAAGACCTTTCTGATTTACAGACACATAGACATACAGAGAAATAGAGCATATAGCTTCAATTCTAAATCTCAGACAGGAGTTGAGAGTAAATACAGAAATATAAACAGATATCAAAGAGCTGATCTTCTCCCAGTGTGCATAAAAATCTTAATTGATTTGAACAAAGTAATTGACAAATAAACAATCAGAAAAGACTTTAAAAGACTAACAAAGCAAGTTCTCAGGTAATGATGCTGCTGCATGGTGAAGTGAAAATTTGAAGAACTCTTACTCTTGACTTTGTAACTTCAGTACTGCTTGCAACTTTTATAAAAAGCACATATTTCTTTAGTAACAAAAAAATAAATTCAAATAATTAGGAAAAAAAAGACTAACACAGCAGATTCTCTGTTGTCTCCCACCCAACACAGATTATATTTCTAGAAACATTAATCTCTTTATAGAGATCAACAACTGTTCAAACCATAAAGCCAAACTCCCAATTATTGCTGCTACCAATGGGGAACAGCTTAGCTCTAAACGAACCAAAAACAAAACAAAAATACATTAGTAGTAGAAAGGGAAAATACTAAAGAAACAGAAAGTCAGCCAAATTCTATTGCTGCTCTGGACTTAG